ACCCTCTATACACCTATTCCACACCCTCTGCACATCTGTATCACACCCTCTTGTGAACCCCTATACACATACCTTCTGCACATTTCTTCATGCTTAAGCATAGATCTAAATGACTTTAACAAAATCTCTGAATCTACACCATTAGCTGGACAACCCTCACATTCTTTGCAGTCCTGATTTGGCCTGGGTTGAGGTCCCTGCCTGAAAGTCTACGGAATTCTTCAGGCTGCTAGGGGTGGGCTACCTCTACCTGACACAGCGTGCTTTCACTCCAACAGTTTAGAAAACTGATGATATCAGTTGCTGCCTTGTGCCCTAAATTTTCCCTGCCTCCCCCAGAGGAATGGTCAGACTTTTAACAAACCTCAGAACAAAGCTGGGACGGCCGAGGGGAAAGCTTCATCCCGCCATGGGAAGAAGCCCCTGCTGCGTGTGGGTCCTGATTCACCGAGTCTCGCGTATTAAAGTGATGTAGGGGACATCTTTCACCGTCACACAAAACCCTGCAGCCCGAGTGCTATCCTGGTCCCCTGACCAGGGTTACAATAGGGCAGTGTCACAGTTCCTCCCATCTTTGTTCCTGGCCAACGGGACTACGGGCCTTGTGAGTACCCTTGCAGGGAGGGAAGCTAACTTTGGTTCTGATTGTCTTATTTCAGCCTCTGCTGAAGTTGGGCCTCACCGCTGGGCTTTTGCCTTTTCTCTTTTTCATTTGGCCGGGGCCGCCTCGGTTAGCAGAGCAGACTTGTCACCGTTAGTTAAAAGTAATTGTTATTGTAAGCCCCCTGTACGCCACTGTCAATGCCTTTCATGGCCAAACCTGGTAAGCATTCGTTTCAGCAGCAGAGAGAGAGTGGACGGACCCGGATCCTTTTCATGGGGGCCAACGGCACCTGCCACAACGGGCTAACTAGCCCGGCTTGATAATTGTGTGCCTAACTTGTTGATCTCCATGGCTTTGGGTTTGCAGAAGCAAGAGAAAAACCACCGCACGTCTCCTCCCGTAGAAAACGACAGGAGTGTCTTCCGCGCTCTGTTCCCATCACTCATAATCAAATACTCGCATTTCCTGTAACATTTCGTTTTCCCTCTTTGTGGGTAGTCATTTCTTAAGTTCAAAGAGCCTTTCTATTCACGGCGAGTTATGTATTTGCCCGTAAAACAAAGGTTTCAAAAACATCAATCCTGTAGCTATGAGTCTGAGTGGGTGTGCTGAAGATATTTCTGTAGTTGCTATTACTGTAAAAAAAAAAAAAAAAGAAAGAAAGAAAGATACATTAAGAGCACAGAATAGGCTAATTAAAAGGGCCCGTCATAAAGCTCAGCCATTTATTGAATATTCAGGTCAGGCTTACTTCAGTGTTTGCCTGTTCAGGCTTACTTCAGTGTTTGCCTGTTCTGTGAAGAGAGTCAGTCAGCCCTCAGGCACTCACAGGCTCACCTCTCCCAAGCGCATGTCCCTGCGGTCACGGTGTAGGGTCTAGCTCAGTCGGTTCTGGTTCAGGGACACCCATGACTCTTTTCTTTCTCCTGAGTGTGTCAAAGTTAGTTTCTGCGCACTGGATACCAAGCTGGGGACACCTGAGAGAGTCTGGGAACCTCCTCCATTAGAGTGTACTGTAGGCAGGTCTGGGGAAGGGGGGTGCGTTTCCTGCGTTGACGGAGAGAGGTAACTGAGTCAGGTAGGGAAAAGTGAGCCTGTAGCTAGTGTTCTCAGTGGCTTCTGCTTCGGCCGCTTCCCTGTAGGCCTCCTCCGCCTTGCGTGCCTGCCCTGGCCTACTGATCTCTTCTCTCACAAGCTGCTTTTGGTTAGGGTTTTATCCCAGCAGAGACTCCACCTGCACAGTGTGATGTGTGCTAATGCATGCGGGTGCATTTGCATACGGAAGCCCCAAGAAGTTGGGTGACTCCCGTCGCACTTCCCTTTTTCTTTTTTCTTTCTGACACAGGTGTCTTGCCATCTTGGCTGCATGGCTAGGGGTCTCCCAGAATTCCACCCGCCTTAACTCCCAAGCCAGTGTTAGTGCTGGTTTACAGCTGTGCTCCACCTGCCTGGTTTTTGTCCGGGTTCCGGGGATCTATCTGAACTCAGGCTGTCGCGTTTGCACAGTAGGCCCTTTTCTACAGACTTCTGAAGAGCTTGCGTCTGTTTCCACGTGGGCATCCGTTTGCCACCCCCACCTGGCCCTTTGCATCCAAGTTGTCAGGGCCGACGCTTTGTCTCTTCCTCGGCAGTAGCCTTCGAAGCCGCTCGCTTCCCCATCAGGCGGCCGCTGGCTCCAGAGGAGGGAGCAGGAGGTGGCGATGGCAGAAACTCACCCAGGTGCAGCAAGCAGGTTGGCATCGCCGGAGGATGTGATCTCAGGGTCCTCTTTCTTTGGGTCTCCGAGGAGCTGGCCAGTGTCCCCACTGAACAGGGAGGGACCTTCTGTGCACAGGACGTACGTCAGGCACTGTTTGCGTCTGGATCTGCCTCGGGTCACAGGCATCCCTGTGTCACAGCTGATTGAGACCCATGTGAAAAGCCACCCCACACCAGCCCATCTTTGGGTGGCATTTATGGGGTGCCACCGGAGCTCAGATCCTAGGCCCCTCCCTTGTGTTCTTGTGCTGGTTCTCCCTCCACTTGGGTCCCGGGGTTGAACTCACGCTGTCAGGGTTGGCAGCAAATGCCTTTAACCCACTGAGCCAGTTTGCCAACCTGACTTTGTTTTTTTGGGGACAGGGTCTCATGTAGTCCAGGACTCACTGTGTGTCTGAGGCTAGTCTTGAACTCCTGATCTCGCTTCCAGCACCACTTTTAAATTCTGGGATTACAGGCATGTGCCACTGTGAAACAGTTTGCTTTTTCCTCCTTTTCCCAGATTCTGGCTGGTGGATTTGGTGGCTTGCTGGTCCCAGTGAAGGGCAGCCTAGGGGAGTCTGGCATCTTCGTGAAAACCCAGTAGAGTTACACACTCACCCCTCATGCCTTTCTCTCTGGGGTGTCCTGTGGAAGCTGAATCGTTTCTCCCTCAGTAACCCATGCTGGCTTCTGAACTCGAATATCTCTATAGCACTTACTTTAAAAACGTATTCATTTTTATTTTATGCGTAGGTGTCTGGGCACCACATGCATGGAGTGCTCAGAGAGCCCAGGAGAGGGCGTGGCATGTCCTGGAATTGGAATTGGAGTTGCATTGTTTGTGGGCCCCCATATTGATGCTGGGAACAGAACCCGGGCCCTCTGCATGAGCAGTCGGCTCTCTTAGCTGCTGAGCCATCGCTCCAGCCTGTAATCTTACTTTTGTGTGCAGTTAAGCTAAAATGCGTTAACTTTCTACTCTTTACTCGAGGGGATGGGCTTAGCTTTGGTTTCAGATGCTCTTCACTGTTTTGGGAGGTGTGGGATTGAGACGGGGTCTAAGGTAGCCCCGGCTGGCCTTGAACTCCCTCTGTAGCCGAGGAGAACTCTTGATCCTATTCCCTTTGCCTCCCAAGTGCTATGATTAGAAACCCAAGCCACCAGGTCCCAGCATGAGGTTTGGTGGGGGTGGGGGATAGATACTGAGAAAATTTACTAACTTTCATCAAACTGTCAAAGAAGTAGGTGTAAGATCTTTTTTCCCACGGGATAAAAATGAATTGTAAAGACGGCTTTTGAATTGGCTGGCTTATGAGGGGCTTGTCCGGGTTGTAACCCACGTCTGGGAGGAATCTTGAGTGTCCGTTCCCTCCTTGGCTGGACGGCCTCTGCCGCAGCCCCTTGGCATCACTGTCCAGGCCATGCCACTTGCCAAGTGCTGACATGTCACTTCATAGTGCGTCTGAGTGCTCTCTGACCTTTCCTGCCTCCGCGTGAAGGCCAGCAGCCAACTCCTAAGCCTGTCGCTCTTCTCCGTCACCAGAGGCAGAGCCAGAGCCCGGGCCCTTCAGAGGGGCCCATGGGCGGCTCCTTTCTGAAGCGTGTAAACCTGGTGCGTTTATGTATGTCTCAACATCAAGTCATGCTTTTCTCCTGCCTCGAGAGCTGTAGTAGTGGGCTTAGCTCTCTGGTGGTGGGCCTGCACCACAGTCTCCGTCAGGGAGGAATATGGTCCCTGAACTGGCGAGAAGTAGGCGACAGACCCTGCAGCGGCAGACGCCCACCCCACCCCCCAGCAGGAGGAGGGAGGGCAGACCCTGTAGCAGCAGACGCCCACCCTCACCCCCAGCAGCAGGAGTGCCCTCGGCACCAGCCTGTCCCTGGTGACTGTTTGGCAGTGGGTTTTACAAGTTTTGCTCTGACTCCTTACTTTACAAGATAATTCAGATTTAGAATAAAAGCATTTATATTTTATTAGTGTGTGTGCCTGTGACTGTGTGAGTTTATGTGTGCCACATGTACGCAGATGTGCAGGGAGGCCAGAAGAGGATACCACATTCCTTGGAATTAGCGTTACAGGCAGTTGACTGGGAGCTGTCTCAAGTATGGGTTTTGGGAACTAGACCTGGGTCCTCTGCAAGAGCAGTAAATTATTCTTAGCCACCAACCCTTCTCTCCAGCCCCCGAAGTTAAAATTTTATAGTATGTTGCTTAATACAGTAGCTTCACCATTTTTGAAAGACCTTTGGCTACACACACACACACACACACACACACACACACACACACACACACACACACACAGAGGCTCCTAAAATTCATCCTAGAAATCAGGAGGCAGCCCTCCTGTCCTTTGAGAGAAGCAGGAAAATCACATAGCCGTGAACAGGCCACACGGACAGAGTGTAGGAGAGACACAGGGCAGTGAGTGTTGCCTGAACAAAGTGAGTGAGCTTACCCGCCAGTCGTATGCTGTGACACCACATTCAAGGACAGGTCCCAGTGTGCTGTGTGCGTTACTTTTTACACATAGCTTTGGGATGTCTCTGTATCTCGTTTCTGTATTCTCTGCCCTCTAAGCCTGGCGTGGTTTCTCTCCTGGGGCTACCGGCCCCACGCTGTGTCCCAACACCCTTCATGGACTGTAACAACTCGGTTCGTTGATTTCTGAAGATTCTGAGTAAACACCAGGAAACGAGGGCAGACGGGAGTTTGACATTTGCGGACTGCTGAATACAATTTTGGGGTCAGGGCTTGGACTGTGGTTGCTGCGCCAGAGTGTGTGCCTTTGGTGTCTTTGACAGCCATGGTGAGCGTTGGTGACTGTTCTTCAGGGGCCTTGGGAAAGATGCGTCTGTGGGGGGTCAGGGAAGGTGAGCCTTGCCTGAGAGTCTAGATGGCGTCTGTTACCGTCTGACCAAATGGGTCTGCGTCTCACCGCTTCGATTCCCTTTTGTGTTTTTAAGGAAAGAAGGACTGTCGAAATGCGGGCGATGCAAGCAGGCGTTCTACTGCGATGCGGAGTGTCAGGTAGGTGCCAGGCGCTGGTGGGGAGGCCTTCTCTCCTCCGGGGGTTGGGACCCGGGTGTCACCGCCGTCATCGGTTCCCTGATGCACAGCTCTGCACTCCATCTGGAGTGTGTGCACGCACCTCTCAGAAGGAACCAGCCCCTGTGCCGGGCAGAAGGGTGGTGCGGAAAGGCACAGGAAGACGGCCAGGGTAGCTGGGGAGTGTCCCACGGGGACCGTCTACTCCAGGGACGCCATCCCATGGAGGACAGTCCACTCCAGGGACGCCATCCCACGGGGACAGTCCACACCAGGGACGACAGTCCACACCAGGGACGCCATCAACCAGCTTGGGGACGTGTAGAGAAGGAGAAAGCTACCTTCTTGGCACGCGCAGTCCCACAGCAGCCGGGCTCCGCCCCTAGCACCGCAGGGTGGAGGGTTGTGACTGTGACCTTGAGCAGGGGTGAGGAGCGATGGGAACCCTTGCATCGTCGTCTCCTGCAGTGCGGGGCTGGAGAGGTAAAGGAGGAGGCTGCTGTGACCTCTCAGTGTCCTGAGGGACTGACAAGGGTGTCCCCTAACTTAGAGTAAACGCCCGATGCCCAAAACCCATTCTTCACAGAAAGAAAAGCAGTATTGCGGGGCCAGTGCAGGGGACGTGAGCTCTTACCTCACAGCCTCGTCGAGGCCTCCGGCGTGGCGTCTGCTAGGAGCTGTGTCCTCTTAAAAGATGTGTGTTTGCGTGCGATGCGTGTTTGCTCTCACACGTGTCGGTACGCCGTGTGTAGGGGCACCTGTGAGCGCATGCGTGTGGCGGGGTCTTTGTTGATTGCTCTCTGACGGTTGAACCTGGACTCATGGGTTCAGCTGGTCTGGCCATCCTGCCTGTCTCTACCTCTCTCTCAGGTGCTGGAGTTACAGACTGGCAACTGTGCCAACCCCACTTTTAACAGGGCATTTGAGGCAAGAGCTCTCCCTCTCCACAAAGCCGTCTCCTCAGCCCTGCAGGAGGAATTTCTGCATCCTCCCGTTTGACCTGTACCTCTCCCCCCCATCCCCACTCACCCCTGCCGAGCCTCAAAGCACACTTAGCAATGGGAGTCACTGCTAAGCCCTGTGACAGCAGAGTGCCAGGGACAACAGCCCCTTGCCAGGGTAGAGCAGACACCGAGCCTGGCCTCCCTCAGCAGGCTTCCTGAGGAGGCCAGCCTGAGTGACAGTGAACATAGAAGTGAGCTTTGGTCCAGATTTCAGGGCCCATCGCTATCTCTAGATGCTCGGACCTCCAGTGGGCGGGGCACTCTGTGCTTAGGTTGCTGTGGCGTTTGGGAGATGCTCGCATGACTGTCTGTGTAGGAAAAGTAACTCATTCCCTCCCTGATCTTTTAGAAGCAAGCGCAGGCAGCGGTGCAGTCCAGTTGAAAGAGCAGGAAATACGGCGTGGCCAAGAGGCACGTCCTGAGTTCCACTTACCAGCTCTCGGGGAGCCTGGCAGGTCACAGAACATCTCTGAGTGGGCACTTGCTTCACGTTCAGGCGAGGACACGATGCCTGTCGTGAAGAGTGGGAAGGAGAGGCCTGCGTAGATGGTGACTGTAGATGGAGGTTTCTGTCCTGCCACCCTTCAGCCCTGAATAAGCACACAGAGACATGTTAATTATTAAATTGTTGGCTAATGGCTCAGGCTTCTTACTGGCTAGCGCTCTCTCCCTCTCTCTCTCTCTCTCTCTCTCCCTCCCTCCCTCCCTCCCTCCCTCCCTCCCTCCCTCCCTCCCTCTCTCTCTCTCTCTCTCTCTCTCTCTCTCTCTCTGTTGGTTTTTTGAGACAGGGTTTCTCTGTGGCTTTGGAGGCTGTCCTGGAACTTTCTCTGTAGGCCAGGTTGGCCTCAAACTCACAGAGATCTGCCTGCCTCTGCCTCCCGAGTACTGGGATTAAAGGTGTGTGCTACCAACACCTGGCAGGCTAGCTCTCTCTTCATTATTCACCTGTAACTACTAATCTATGTATTTCTACATGGTTTCATCTTACCAGAGAACTTCTGGCGTCCTGTCTTCCCGGCAGCTACGTGCCATGTCTTTTGCAACTCCTCTCTCTCCGTCCTCTCCCCAGCCTTCTCCTCATCTGGTAGCCCTGCCTATACGCCCTGCCTGGCTACTGGCCAATCAGTATTTTATTCATCAACCAATAAGAGAAACATATACACAGGACATCGCCCACCAGGTGATGCCCTGGACAGGCGTGTGGCGTTATTATAAATAATATTGGACTCCATGGTGGAGCAGGTTTTCTGGGACTCAGTGGGGTAGCGGCTTAGTTGTGTGTAGAGGCCCAAGCCAAGAGGCTTGTCTTCCCAGCCTGGGACGATGGCTGCCGTCTGAGATTGCCAGGGCTGGGTGGTGAGCAGTGGTCAGCACAGGGGAGTCAGTCTCCTGAGACATCGAGAACAGCTTCAGCCATAGAGAATCTCAAAATCGGTGGCGTATGCCTTTGCCCCCGCACCCCCTGGGCACACTGACGAAAATGTATTTCCGTACGTCTCAGTAGGTAGCAGTATTGCAATGAGTCATCCCATGTGTGTTGGGATTTTGAGGTGGCCCTGTGGTTCCTGATGCTCTCTGGTCTTCCGGGCTTGCAGACTCCAAAAGCGCTTGCAGACTCCAAAAGCTCATTTGAGTCAGCCTCACGTTAATTAAGGTCTATGCTGGAATGATTGCTCTGCCTGAAGCACTCAGAGTTTGCTCAGTCAGCCACTGAAGGCCGCCTGGAAGGTGGCTGTGTCATAGTCAGATGGTAGGGAGGAGCCCAGGGACAGACTCTGCAGCTGTGAATTTCTGTCACATGACCAGGCATCCCTGATGCGGCTTTCTAGAGGTGCCAGGCTGGATTTAACCTGAAATTTCTCCCTTCCTCCCTCCCTCCCTCCCTCCCTCCCTCCCTCCCTCCCTCCCTCCCTCCCTCCCTCCCTCCCTCCTGCATTCCTTCTTTCCTTCCTATCTCCTGAAGAAAGAGGCTGATGGCCACAAGTTTTCAACCTTCACTCATGAAGAACTAAATGATTATGGGGCCGTGGGCTGCAGCAGAACGGCCATGAGGAGTTAGGAGAAATACATGCCTAGAAACGGAGGGCAATGCCAGGGCTGAGGTTCAGGGAGTGTCCGGCCCAGTGCTTCTGGGACCCCGTCATTGTTAGGGAGGCCATGGCTGGGCCGGGGTCCTGGGTCCAGTCTGGCGAAGCTCACGGTCATCCCTTATCGAGTCCTGCGCCACAGCCGCACCCTCAGCACTCTGCTGTCTGGCTGACTGCCCACCGTCACCACTGGGAAGAAGGCGTGTGGACGCCGTGAGACAGTTCCTCACTGACAGTGTGGACGCCGTGAGAGACTTCTCTCTCCACTCTCCGTGCCGCTGGAAGATTCTCACTCCTGCACAGGGATCAGTCTCACCCAGGGTTTATTGTCCTGGAGGAAAGTGAACTTGAAGTTTCAAAAGAACTCTGAGCACAGAAACCCGCCGTGTCTTTTGCTGTGCGGACGCGTGCTTGAGTTATTTCAGCAGCAGTGAATCCATGACTGAAAGTCAGAGGTACGGTGGGGCGCTGTAGTTAAGGCAGAGGGAGTAAGTAGTTTGAATTTTGAGGGGATAAGAAAGTAGTTTTAGGGGGGAATCTTGCAAAAACTGAAAGAGTATTTTTCAAAGAACACACAGTTGCCTTTTTAGACTTTTTGCACACATTTTTTTCTTACAATTTATTATGCACAGAATTATGGCAGATTGTCTCCCCCAGGAGAGCGCGCTCTCAGTCAAGGCTGCAAGTACAGCTTGTGGGGATGTGGCTGCCCATGTAAAGGTCTGGGCTCGTCCCCGGCACCGTGAGAATCAAGCTGTGTGTCACTCACCTGTTCTCTTAGCTCTTGGTAGGGGAGGCAAGAGTTCAAGGCCAGCGTTGGCTTTGTAGGAGTCCTAGACCAACCTGAGCTACATGAGACTTCCTTAAAACAAGCAAAGGCAGGAAAAGCAGACAAGCAAACTAAAAGTGCTCAAAGCTATCTGATGCTGCTAGCAGACTCAGTTTCTCCTTTCCTTTTTAAAAAGTTTTAATGTTTTAGAAAACGTGTATGGGTATTTTTGCCTGCAAGTTTATCTGTGTCCCGTGTTAGTGCCTGGTGTCCGTCGAGGCTAGACGTGGGTGTTGGCTTCTCTGGAGCTAGAGTTACAGACAGTTGTGAGTCTCCATGTGGGTGCTGGGAATTGAACCCGGGAAGAGCAGCCGCTGCTCTTAACCACAGAGCCTTCTTCAGGCCCTATTTTTGTTTTTTAATGACAAATGAAGTGTCATTGGAGTACCCATCTGTCACTCTTCCCTTAATCTGTGTCCTTCATGTCACCTTCCAGAAGGAATCCCAAGTGAACCAAAGTCAGTGCTAAAGCGGATTGGTGTTGTCGAGGCAAACCTAGCTTGATGCGGCTTAAGTTCTGTTTCCTTGTGTCGTCCATTTTACTCACTGTTCTAACATGGTCACAGTCAAACCCTCTGTCCATGCTCCCTGCTTCCAGTGTCAGCGGCAAGGCTGGTTTCATTACCAACACTGATTACAAATGGACGTGGGCCAGGCTTCTGGCTTCTTAGGTGCTGGTATCTGGGATTGACTGTGAAGTACCCAATCTGTGTGAGCCGATGCCGACTGTGTGTGTGTGTGTGTGTGTGTGTGTGTGTGTGTGTGTGTGTGTGTGTGTGTGTGTGTGTGTGTGTGCGCGCGCGCGCACGTGTGTGCGCGCGCGCCAACTGTCTGGTTGTGTGTGTGAGCAGATGCAGATGGTCCAGTTTGAGCCCCCATGTTCCACAGGCTTTGGGCCCTGGTCCGATTATCACTGTTGGAAGGTGTGAAATCACAGACTCAGAGTTCCAGACCTGCTAAGTAACGGGAGGATCATGTTATTTACAGCCTGGAAGCAGGTGCACAGGGATTAGGAGGCCTGCATGACCTCCCTTAGCTGCTGCGGAGCAGAGTTCCAACGGGGGTCTCTGAGAGTCCCAGGCTGGTAGCCATCCTGCTCCAGGGTCTCCACTTTCCTCCACAGGGCTCCCTAAGGCGAGCTTCTCTTCCCTTGGAAGATAGACCCATCGCAAACGTCAGTGGGATGTGTTATTTATGTGAGCATTGATTTTAAGTTAATTATTTGAATAAATATGTTATTGATACAATTGATTAAATTTGATAAACATTAACATTTCATTTCTTCCTCCTGGGAGTTTATGCCTAGGAGATACCAAGCCCTGTTCACAGTTGAGGAAACCAAGTGTAGAAACCCTGGGGTTTCAAAGACAGGGTTTCTCTGTGTAGCCTTGGTTGGCCTGGAACTTACTCTGTAGACCAGGCTGGCCTTGAACTCAGAGATCCACCTGCCTCCCTAGTGCTGGGATTAAAGCTGTGCACTGGCTTGAGATCCTGTCTTAAATCAGGCTTTTTCGAGTTCCTGGAGTCTCAGTGGGCTTTACTTGTCCCTCTGTCCTGCCTGCTGGTGCTACTTTTCCTTAGTTGTCACAGGCCTCTGCGTCCCTTCCCCTGTACCCTGTGGCCGCCCCAGGCTAGGGAGGAGTGTGCTGGACCCATGCCCTCCTCTGCCTCTTCCTCTTGCTCCGTGGTGTAGCCTCCAGCTAAAAACAGCTCCTGCGCTCCCTGGGGCATATCTTCTCTTCTCTCCCTCTCCATGCTGTTATATCAGGCACGGTGTTATTTAACTCCACACAGCATCTTGGCACAGAATGTGAGCCCCAGGGATGTGTCAGGCGCTGCAGTAAATCATGAGGGTGGATTTTGTGTCTTTCTCTTGGGTTCTGTAGAGGAGAGGGACGGGGTGGGGGGCAGCCCTCCTGAGTGCCTTATGAATGCCAGGCTTGGGTGTAGGACCTGGGGTCCCACCTGTGAGTAAAGCAGAGGCGATTCCTTTATTCTAACGGGGGCTAAATGTCACATGCCGGCAGTGGGGAGGACTAACTAAGACGCACAAATCGAGGGAAGGGAGTGTGGGGGGAAGGGGTTACTTGGGGCAGGTGGCCTGAGAAGGCGACCGTGGAGGATCAGAGGTGTGGAGACCAGGGACAGTCAGGGAGCCATGTGACAGTCTGGGGACTAAAGCGAGAGAGCAAATACTGCAGGGGCACAGGGTTTTGAGAGAGGGAACAGGAAGGGTGATTCTACGGCAACAGCGTCAGGAGAGTGTGGAGGGACAAACCCCGAGAACTCCTGTCCCCACAGCCTGGGAAGTTGTGGTGAGAACTTGACTTTGTGCGCAGGGTCAGAAGTCATCTAGGGTTCTGAGCCGAGGCCCGAGTTCTATTTAAGAGCGTCCCCCTCTCCAGTACTCACAAGGCCAAGGCAGGCTTGAAGCTAAAGGGATGTTGTTGGGGGAAGTCCTGTGCATTTGTCAATGAAGCACTGCTGGCCAATAGAAATCTAGATAGGTGGGACTAGGAGTCCAGGAGGACTCTGGGAAGGAGAAACACAAAAAGTCAAGATGTAACGCCATAGGGTAGGAAGCCCGGAAACTTCTCCGGTAAGAGATATACTTAGATTAGCAATTATGGGGTAATTACTTAAGTCAGAGCTAGCCAGTAAGAAACAAGCAA